TGACTATAGCTTAAACCGAGACATTATATACTTAAAATTGCTAAGAAAGTAGATTTTAAGTGCTCTTGATAAGTACTGAGGTAATACATGTTACTTAGTTTGATTCATTGTTCCAAAATACATACATGTTTCAAGACACCAGGTTGTTCTTGATTAAATAAATGCATACAACAGGTGTTTGTCACTAAAAAGGAAAGAAGTTATCATTATTAGTAGTAATTTTCCTAAAGTCTTCAGAGTACTAACTGTTGAGATCATTTTTAAGACAATATGACCCTCAAGACACTTGTTTTAAATCAGTGCCAAGTATCCAAGTTTGCTTAAGGATATTTTGTGATTGGATAATACTTTACAAATCTAGGTCTTTCAAGTGTGTTTTATGAGGGATGGGACAGCCTGGAGGATTTAACTCAGGGCCTCACACTTCTCACACTTGCTAGGCTGGTGCAACATGGAGTCACACTAGCTTCTATGGTTACTTGTAGGATAAGATCTCACCTCCCACCTAGACACCCACCTAGGCACACCTCCAGCTATGATACACCTGCATTAGGCTGGCTGCCATCACTGGCATCACAGGCATGAGACATGAAATCCAGATTGCTTTCTGTGCACAGTCTCACCAACTTTTCACACTATGTTCCTCCTAATCTTATCTTCCTATGTATCATGGAATGATAAATAAACATCATCTCACAAGCCTGGTGGGTTAAGAAGAGGTCTCACTAACTTTTCTATTTTGGCTGGTCTGGGACCATGATCCTCCTGTTCTCAGCCTCCAGAGTAGAAAGGACTTCAGGAACCACTAGTGTTTAGATTCTATTTAGAAAAATATATGGCATTGTTGCATTATGATATTTGTACTAGATATCCAAATACTTAGTCTTAAATAAAGTGTGGAGCACATAGCATTTTATGTAGCTATTAGTTTTCCTTGATAGATATCAGAAGGCTCCATCAATAAAGCAAATACTTTAAAGTCAACCCAGTAACTCTGTATGTAGTTCAAATACTGCAGTCTGACCTTGGAGTAAAATAATCTCTGATCCTTTGCTTAAAAAGTTGGGATGATGATTTGAAGAATAGTAAAAATTAGCACTAGTTGAATGCTTACCATGAATCATAAGTATTTTGCCATTGTGTCCTCTTTATAATTCTAGTAGGCAGCTACTGTTTTTAATCTGCTTTTACCAAGGAAGGAAAGGAGACACAGAAAATCTAAGTAGTGACTAAGAATAGATGTAGCATTCAAAGTCCAAAAAGCCTACCATCTACCTCATAATTGTTAAGGTATTTGTATTTTCCCCAAAGAAAGGTTTGCATTGAGAATGAAGAAGTTTGGAAGAGAAGAATACCTACAGAAATTATTCCTTTTAAAAAATAAGCATTTAATAAGTCTCTTAACATTGTCAGGCTTATGAATACAGACCACCTATTTACTTCCCTGTAACATCAAAGAAAAATGGCCACTTTTATTCCCAGGATAAAAATTTCTGCAGTCAGGAAACACAACATACAGTTTGTCTCCACCATTTACCTATTGACATTCACTGATTTCTACTATTTAAAAGTGAATACATAAACTCAAGTTCCCAAGTAACAAGTATTTAGACTTCCCACAGAAATATTGGCAGAGACAAAGGTTTACATAGTAATTGAGGGAAACATTTTAACAGATTTTCACTCCAAATTTCATTATATAAAGTCTATCTTTCCATTTGTTTCAGTTGCCCTGGAACTTGAACTCTGGACCTCCCACTCACACTTGTCTTTAAGCTCAAGGCTGGAGCTCTACCACTTGAGACATACTTCTTCTTCCAGCTTTTTGCTGATTAATGGGAGATAAATATCTTAGGTGTGTCTTCCCCAGACTGGCTTTGATGCAATCTTCAGATCTTAGACTCTTGAGTAGCTAGGATTATGGACGTAAGCCACCTGTATGTAGTTCATCTTACTTTCTTTATACAGCTGTAACCTGTTTCTCCTGTCCTGAGCATGCTCCCTGATCTTTTCTATCTACTTGTAGAGTCAATATATACCTATGAACCAGTCATTGTTGGCCACCCAGGCAGGAAAGTCATGAGAATGTTATCTCCAAGAGGCCACCAAGAAGCCAGAAATGGAAGTGTGATTCAAGTGGTGCATTGCCAGCCTTGAAAGTAGAAAAAAAAAAGCTCAGGGACAATGCCTAGGCCTGAGTTCAAGCTCCAGGACCAGCAGAGAAAACAAACAAAAAGATTCTATGAGACAACTGGGAAATAATTGCATTTCCAAGTTACTGAATTAATTCCTCAATGTTAATATAGTTTCTATGATGCAAGGCTTGTAGGGGATAAAGAAATACGGAAAATGGGAGTAGATAAATTAGAGAAGGTTTGAAATCATGACAGTAGAAGAAATAATAGATTATCAATGTGGGTGAGGCAAGCTCTGTGCATTATCTTTGAAAGTGTGTCATTTACTTTTAAAACTACCTATGAGTTTCTCCATGTTATTAATTCTATCAGGTTTAAATAGGAATACACAGGAAGGCTCTTTATTCGTATATAACTGTCTCATGTTTTTTCTTTCAAAAAGAAAACCTACACAAATCAGGCAACACAATAGTATATCTCAAACTATCTCATCATTATACTGGCACAGGCTCACCAAACTCAGTGGGTGTAGGAGATGTACACTGAGAGATGCTTCTCCCTTTGCAATTTTTCTTTAATAGTGTCACAAATCCTACCCATTTGCCTGCCTGGCCTGCTCACAGCATTCCATCTTCACATTTGGATGAGCCTGAACTTCACTAGGTGATATATATGTGTGATTTTTAAATGAGAATTTTAATATGTTATTTTTCAAACTCAGCACCAATTAGCAGTGACTCCTGCCTGGTTCACACGGGTGCAGGGCTTGTTACTTATGGGATCACAGGGTTCCCAGTGGGTATTCTAAGCCCCAGTTAGGTTGCTTCCCTATCAGCTGCCTTTCTTTTCTCCTGGCCCTAGATAGGCAAGGAAAGCAGCAGGAAACTGCTCTGGCCCTGAAAGTTTCCTGAGCCCCCAGGAGGCCAGAATGCTTCAGGCAGCTTCTCCTACTCATGGCAAATCAGATTAAGACTTGGAAAAAAATATTCTTCAAACCTTTCCCCCTGTTTTCTTTTCCACACACACGAATGGAATAATGGCTTTTAAGTCAGGAACAACCGTTAGAAAGCAAGCCAACACAAAAACAGCACTTCCCCTTAAAAGCTGCTAGCTTCCTACCATAGGGTTTTCATATTAAATAAAGATACAAATAGTGAAAGGGTACTTAAAAATCCCTCCCTCCCCCGGCGCGTGTTGGAAATGAAATCTTCAGAATGTAAATGCAGACGCCTAGTCCTAACTAGCACGTCACTCAAGATTGTAAAGGAAAAAAAAAAAAAAAAACGAAAAATTTCTCAGGAATAGAGTAGTCTGAATCATCAAGGCATGCATTCTGAAAACAGAACGCTAATTTTATTTTCGTTATCATCCATGTGTTTCAGTCCATCCTAAGTATCTTCTGAGTTTTTTAAAAAAGCCAACCACATGCTTTCTTTATGTCATGTGCAATAATCTTTTAAAAGGTTATGAAAATAGGATTCTGCATGAAAAAATTTTGTTTTGAGTAGTTGGTGATATTTCTGAGAGGTCTTTGTTCTTTACTGGAGGAGGAAAAAATGGCCAAATTCAGTTCCGAGTGCCGGCTTTGGAAGGTGTTGAAGAGAGCCTGCCTGATTACCCAAATTCCAATTGGGCACCCAATAAAAGATAGAAAAATCACCTATGCACCTTTCAATTGTGACTCCAGTTGCAGTAAACCTCGTCTAATAGTTTATTGCACCCAGCAAACAAAGCCTATTTTAAGGGAAGAATTCAGAGCTCCCTTCTCTAACAGAACTGCAGCTTTTATTTATTTATTTTTCTTGTCAGTTTCATAGATTTCTAACAACCAGAGGATTGTTTTCGAAATCTGATTTTTATGCCAGTGTCACAATTTCCACCTCTGTAAGTAGAACAGATTTCATCCCAAGAGCAACAATGGTTGCTTCCTTGCTTAACTCGAGCATGACAGATTAAGCTTCAAGCAGACCAGAAAATGCCACCTTTCACTGAAGGAGACAGAGCAGCGTTTGCAGTCTCTTCGGTCTTATTTGTTCCTGGAACTGGCAGCTGATCTATGGTGCTGTCCATGCCAGCCATGCTAGTCCTGATTGAGGGAGCTGGGGAGGGTTGCATGACTGTCGGAGGCTATGGCTCATTGCCCACGCGTTCAGGCAAATTCCTGGCCTTCCCATTGTCGTCTGCCTTGGGATAGTTGCTTTGTGCCATGCCCAGCAGACACCAGACACTCTACACATGTTGGCTGAAAAGAAAAAGGGGAAGAGAAAAATGTGGGCTTAGGAAGATGCCTCTTTGACTTTACCGGATAAATGCTGATGGTGTCTTTGGCAAAGTGCTTGGGTGATGTGGGGATGGGAAGAAACACTAAGAGGCAAACTCAAAAATGCCAAGTGAGTGAATGAGCAAGCTAATAGGACATGCGGAAATGGAAAAGGCAGTCGCCCAAGTCTGTAATTGGTGTATTATATTAGAAAGCATTTTTTATAAGAAAAACGGTACTTGCAGTGTGATCGTTCTGAATGCATTCTAGAGACTGGTGTATTACATAAACATATTTACACCTGTTTTGGGAGTTATCATAGAAGGATGACCATTATTCAGACTTCTGACCAACACATCTGAGATATTTTTAAATTAGGTATGGCCTATGACGGTAAAAAGAAACACTATTTTTTCATAGTTTTGGTGTTTTACTTTATATAGATATAAAATATAGACTCTGCCTGTCAATATCGGAAACAGACAGAATCAAATAACAGAAAAGCTTGAATATACTATTCTTACATATGCTCATTGCTGGCTCTTTTACTGGTTAAGATGTTGAAAGGAGTCCCATGCATATATTTTTTTCTTTTCTCTTCTCAGGTGCAAAGAAGGCTACCAAGGAGTCCGCTGTGATCAATTTCTGCCCAAAACCGACTCCATCTTATCAGATCCAAGTAGGTCAAGGCTTTTTCTTTCCTCTAATGCAATACATAGGCAGCCTTTGTCTCTGAGCAAGGGTTGTTAATGCTGCTGAAGATGATATTACATGGCTGTGTCTCGGAAAGTTGCCAAGGTCAGAAGGTGGGGATAAACATTAATGTTGAAAGCATGCTCAGAGGCAACTGCTTTTGTCTTCTCCAGGGAGACTGGATTCTACTTCTAACCTCTGGGGAGCTGACTTTCAGTAAATCATGCCGGCTTTTCTCACCCCAATAGTAAGGATAGAGAGCAATAAAAGAGCTTATTATTTACCCAAAACAATAATACAAAAACTCCATTATTGCCTGGCGCTGGTGATTGATACGTATAATTGTAACTACTCAGGAGGCTGAAATATGAGGATCTTGGGTCAAAGTTATCTTACACAGTAAAGTCTGTGATACTCTACTCTCAAATTAACAAGTAGAAAGCTAGAAGTGGTTCAATTGGAAGAGCCTCAATGTCAGGCAAAAAAGGCAAATGAAAGTTACTAGGCAATAAATTCAAATCCTAGAACCTACAGGGAAAATATAAAATATCAAAAATTGCTGGGCTCTGGTGGCTCAACCTGTAATTCTAGCTACTCAGGAGGCTGAGATCTGAGGATCACGGTTCAAAGCCAGCCCGGGCAGGAAAGTCCATGAGACTCTTATCTCTGATAAACCCTCAGAATACAGGAAAGTAGTGCTGGGGCTCAAGTGGTAGAGTGCTTGCCTTGAGCTGAAGAGCTCAGGGGCAGCACCCAGGCCCAGAGTTCAAGCCATACAACCGATTAAAAAAAAAAAAAAAGATCAAAGATTACATTGTCATATGGTTTCTGACACTGTAGATAGCAATTTGTAATAATAGTAAATATATTAAAATATACCTCATTGCAATAAAAAGTATATATTTGAACCTGCATGAAAACATTTCAAACAACTTTGAAAATCCCATTCACTCTGCATACCATTCTTTGTACATGAGGACTTCAGTGCTAAAGAAATTATATTTTTCTTCATGAGATAATACAATTAACCACTAAGAAAACTTGCATTGCATGATGGTGTTTATACATGGATCAAAAGTAACTTACAACCAAATGCTCAGTTCCGATTAAATGTGAAATTTTAAACTATATTTTTATATAGTTGTCTGCTCTTTTAATTGCTACTACAGTTGAATCACTGCTAAAGAATGGAGATTTTTTTTAATTGAATAAACCAGGTTTAGTTCAGGAAGGATAATAACAGATATGTCCAAATCCTAAGGCAATGATATTGTTTTGCATTAAACATGCATACCACAGATTTCAGCAAATACTTTGGTCAACGAAAATTAGAAGTTGCTCTGCCAGTATGGATTTTGCCAGATAATAAACATGTCTAGCCATCTTTTAGCATCTTCTTAAAATATGTATTCTCATTTTTGTTGTTTTTATTAGCTTAAACTCATTGTGTGGGGTGGGATATTATATTATTATGTTTCCAGCCATATTTAAAACATATTTCAACCAATCTCACCCCCTCAATCACTCTCCCCTCTTCCCCTTATTAAGACAATTATATCTTGCTTTTCTTTAAGCATTTCAAGCCACTTTCCCCCAGGGCAAAAACAAAGTTATTTAAATAAGAATAAATGTACTTTAATTTAAATATGTTTTCTCTTATCCAGATACCCTGACTAAATACTTTTTTCTTTGAAAATTTAGCTGTGGAGAGAAACGTGAAGGTTTTTGTAAAACTGGGAGCAATCTAGCCAAGGATATCTTTGTTCTCTCAAGTGTGACACACAGAACTCTGGGAATTATCCATATGGCGTATGGTTACTACAGGGTCCCTGTCCTTCTTAGCTGGTGCTTGTTACGCTGCTCTCTAAGTGACTACTCTGGTTGTAGCTGGGAACCCAGATCTGGTATATTAGGAAGTATGAATAAAAGAACAGAATTGATGATTTTTTATTATTTTTCTGTGAATTTTTTCTTTTCTCAATATTGCTTGTATCCCCTCCCCTCCCCCGCATACCCCTCCTCCCTCCCATCCCAGCCCATCCACAGATTCTCTATTATATCTACTTTCCTTCTTTGGTTTCTGTTTACTGCCATCTTTCCACATTTTACTCTCTTTTTTTCTTTCATTCTCTCCTCTTCCCTATTTTTCTTCATGCTTTCCTTTAAAAAAAAAAATACGGGTCTGTTCAATGCTTATCAAGTACAGGATCCTGGGTAAGGTATTGCTTATGACAACAAGTGGGCAAATAATGTTTCTTTAAACAAGCTAATCAAATCTTGCTGTAGAATTGGTTACCATACTGTAGTTGTGTAGGTTGCATAACTGAATCCATTTATGAGTGGGTGCTACTCAGAGAACATTAGAATCAGGGATGAAGACCCCAAACACGCAGTTCATACCAATATTAAGTGTAGAAGTACTTACAATGGTGAAATAAACATAGGAATATTTTAAATAGCAGACAAAAAAATCTATCTTTACTTGAGCTATCTTTTTGAACATCTTGCCTGTGATATTAATTTGCCATTAACAATGGCAGGTTTGTGAAATTTTCTACTGCATAAAACTACAAAATACAAATAATTTATTTATGTTGTTGCTTTTTTATGGCTAGTTCTTGAATTCAAGGCCTGGGCATTGTCTCTTAGCTTTTTGATCAAGGTTGGGGCTCTATCACTTGAGCTTTACTTCTAGCTTTTTGGTGGTTAATTTGAAATAAAAGTCTTATAAACTTCCCTGCCCAGGCTGGCTTCAAACTGCAATTTTCAAATCTCAGACTCCTGACCTACTTAAGATTACATGTATGGGCCATGAGCACCTAACACAAACTTATTTTTATATAAGACTGAAAATAACCACAAAACCCCCTAACCTCTGCATCTTTTCACCTAAAGGCGAAAAAGAAATGTACTAAAATGCTCAAAAGAACTTCATATTATTAACACAATATTAGCTTTTTTCTGAATACATTTCAAAAGCTGTCAGTTTTTAACATCCATAGATTTTCCTCTTATTTTAATTAATGTATCTTAATAAAGGGTTTTGTTTTGACATGTCCATAAATGCATATAAAGTACTTTGATTAAAATGAACATCTTTTATTACTCCTCTCTATTCCTTCCCCTTTTACAACAGGAGATTTCATTCCTCTTTTTGTTTTTCTGCTAATAGTGTGTACTCAAGGCTTTTCACACAAGGCTCGTGCTCTCCACACTTCCAATTTTGGGTTTTGGTGGTTAATTGGAGATAAGGTTCTCATGGCCTTTCCTGCCCTGGATAGCTTTGAACCCTGATTCTCAGATCTCATGCTTGGCTATAGATTTTTTTCTTATTATTAGATTTTCATAAACTCAGGCTAGCAGGGAGGATCTTGGAAACTGCCCACATTTTATAGATGTGGAACATAGGCCTCAGAAATGCTAAATAAACTTCTTCAAGGTCACATGGAGAGTGAATGCTGGGGTCCAAATCACTCTGGAGCCCGACCTCCCCATTGAAGCTCTTTCTTGGCTCTCTTCCTCTAGTTATTTTCAACAGGACATTTATCACTCTAAATTTCATTGACTGAAACTCAATGACCTGCGGCAAACATCATTCTAAGGAACAATATTTGCACAATTTTCATATCTTAATGCGGCAACTTGAGCTTCCATAGAGATTTAAATCCCTAACGAAATTTCCTTGTCAAATTTCTTTTTGAAGAATTGTTTAATTTACTGCTCATGATATCTTTGGGATGACTTTATGCTCAAGAAATCAGCTTTCCTTCAATACCTTCTCTCTGTATTTGCCTTTCTTCTTTTCTAGAGTTTCTTTCCTATTTCCCTATGTCCCTATGTACTCTCCTTACTGTCACCCCTATTACAAGGGGTTCAGAGTCTCTGCTTGGGTTGATCAGCTTTATATATATATATATATATATATATATATATACATATATATATGTATATATATATATAGGGATATATATATATATATATATCCATAAACATATACTCCTGCATATATACATATGTTACATATGTATCAATGTATGCTGTACATATATGTATATAAATACATGTATGTGTATATGTATTTATGTTCCACAAAAGTATGTAATACTTGTATTTCATACTTAAGATTCTCTACACTAAAAATGTTATTAGTTTTATGATGAATTATATATTCATGGGTCATTATGAAGATAACAATCACACTGATAAATGCTTAGTTAAAAGTCACACGGATTAGCATGGAAAACAGGGAATCTGGGTATTGTTGAGATGAGGATTGTTGGGAAAGTGTTCATCCATCCATTTATTTGTTCTTTCAGAAATTACTGAAGGGTAAGCACTGATGTAAACAGATGACAAAGCAAAACAGAGAAATAACTCTAAAAGAAAGTTAGGTAGTGTTAAAATGATTTAGTAAGGGGTAGTTATTTTGAGTATGACCAAAAATGGCCACCATTAAAAAAATAGGTCCAAATGATAAAACAAAAAGATCCTGTGGGAAAAAGAACATTTGATGAGAGAATCAGCCATGACAAAAACCCTAAGCCTGGGATCAACCTGATATAAGCAAAAGTGAACACACACTGCATGTAATAGAATGAGTGATAGAGTATATTTGATGAAGAGAAGTGTGAGCATACAATCGGCATCTTCACTAGAACGCCTTTCAGAGTGGCAGTCTCCACACTGTATAATAACAGTTCTGTAATAGGCATATGGGCCTGTCTGAGGAAAATGGACTTATGATACATTGGATTAGTGTTTATCAACCTGGAGCAAGTTTACATCCCAGGGGCCATCCTCAGTATCAAAACATTTTCAAACATTTGTGATTGTCACTACTGCATCTAGTGGTAGGAGGCAGATGCTAAGCAAAAAATACTGTAATGCCCAAGGTGGTCCCCAAAGCAAAGAATTATCTGACTCCATCTGTCACTAGTATAGGAAAACTGTAGGCATACATCCAGCCATATGAAAATTTGAAAATCA